ATTTGGGATTTGGGATTTGGGATTTCGGCATTTGGGATTTCGGCATTTGGATTTTGAATTTGGGTGGCAGGTATAGCCATAGTACTTTTGATCAAGGAACTTAATAGTGAGTTGTAAGGTAAAACACCATATTTTTAATGTTCCAAAAATTTCTATTATCTTATATTCCATCCCTAGTATCAACTTCTCTTCAGCAACCAGAAAAATTGAAAAATAATTTACAAACTGTTGAAACTATTAAAAAGAAGCATGAACCTCCTGATAAACCTATCTTGACTTTTGAAGAAAGTCTAGCTGATGTACATTTGTCTGAAATTGCCTCAGGTCTCTTCCATTATTATGGTAAGGATTTACAAATAAATATTTATTAGAATATATTCTTTTTTTAAAATATGTCTTTATTTTCCATATTTTGGCAAAACTTTGGAACTGTCACTATGTCAAATGGCCAAGTCTTAACTAGTTTTCTAATTATTTACGTGATGTTCCCAAAAATTGTGTACATCATTCTTTTAAAATGGAGATTGAAAATTGTTTGTGAACGAACACCCTGCTCAACTATATCTTATACAACTGGAAAACTAACTGAAGGTAAGAAACAGCGTGGAAACTAAATATCTATTGCTGTATGCTTATTGGTGAGTGGGCTGTGTGCTTAGATGGGAAGTTTTTATTAAGTCAAGAACATAAAGTTTAAGCTCTTCCTAAGGGATATTGGATCTGTTAATACTTTATAAGGCCTGCGTACTCGTGAACGAAATACATCTTTGTGAGATGAGGTGTATCCTCATCTAACTAAAGTATAATATTTCAGGCTGTTTATTATCTATAATTGTACTTTGTCATGTGTGTTGTTTTTTACATTTATCAACTAAACTACAATTCCAGATGAGACAGTCAGTACAAATAATTAAAAAAGCAACTAGGAACGCAACCAAATTACTTGTCAAAAAGGCAAACGTAAAGAAAAAACTGGAAATTGTTAAGGTTAGAGTTTTTTTATTTTGACATGTTTTTGATAGTTATATAATATGCTTATCCTTTGCAAAACATTTCAGGATTCTATGATTATCAGTGGATATCGCTGAATTAATAAATATTACAAAGTAAGTACACAATTAGTTAAGCATAAGCTCTTAGTCAATAATAACCATTCTGATTTTAATCACGAAGTAGATGACTCAAAAAGGTGTCAACAACAATAAAAACAATTTAGTTTTATTAATAATTGCTGATCAATTTTGCAAAGAATTTTCGCAGACCTCAGGTCATTCAAATTTTCCAGAATAGAAAATTCTCGATCATATATAACATTTGATATCAACACGCTGATGTGATAAAATACACATATATCTACTTTATTAATACAAATAAAATATACATAGATGTGTGATATATGATAAAACAATAAAATACAATTAAAAAATTCTATCATTTGTTAATCTTTTGAATATGACATTTTTTAATTTTATGATTATCGCATATTGTAATCCTATCTCCACGATCATACCAATTACTGTTTTAACACCTTTTCTAATCGATTCAAGATCCTCCTTCAATGTCATTTTTGATAAATTAATTTGCATTTTGTAATTACAATAATAATTTTTTTTTCAATAAAATTATATTCAAAAATTAATAATAATAAATTTTATAAAGTTATTTGAATAATATATTATTTATTATTTTATTATTTTTCAAAGTTATACATATTTTGTTTTTAAAAATATACTGATCCTTGAAAATAACTCTTAACCATATCAGAAGTAATTTGTGTACATACAATCATTAGTGTATGAATTGGTCAATACATACATTCATAAAATCACAATTTTGTTTCATTTAACTTTTAATAGTATCAAATACTGTTTCAATTGGATTTAAATCTGGAGAATAAGGTAAAAGAAAAATTATACAATATCCTAATTCTTCAAGAATATTGATTAAATTTTCATCATGATAAATTGTTACATTATTAAGTATAATTACACTATTTTTTTCTGGATAAGGATTCATTTGAGAAAGCTGATAATATAAAATATTATATTAGAATATCTTTATCAATAAATATATTATATTAT